TTAAAAGCAATCACATCACTAAGGGGCTAACCATGATAGAAAAGCATCCGACCTTAATTAAGGCTATCATGGTTAGAAAAAGAATAACATATATTTGTAAGGACAAAACTTAGGTCCAGTTTATTAGGTCCATTATGTCCATTGCTCCAATAAAATTCTGCCACATGTATTATTATTCCACATTAGCACTTAACCCCAAACGTTCTTTCGAACCACCGTTAGTAAGCACCGTCGATGCTGCTGCTTCAGCTTCCTCTCTGACAAGTGCCCCTCCTGCCATTGGTCTCTCCCCTGTTCTTGGGAGATCAGCCCCTCTGGGCGTTCAGCACCACTTTCTTCTTCTCCGGCGAGAACACAACAGCGAGCACCCACAATCTTTGTCATGTTCTTCGACGGAAGACCTAAAGAAGAAGCTATTGAGAAGCAACCAGATTCATCTTCTTCTTTAGCAACAGTGGCAGCCACAGGCTAAGCAAACTGCAGAAGCGACGACGATATGGTTGTGGGTTAAAATTTTCTTCTTTTTTTTCCCAGATTGCATAAGCTTCTTCTGCAATTCCGTAACTAGCCCCATAAGACAAAAATTTTCAAGGAAAAGGAGCCATTGTTTCTCTAGATTTCGACGACATTGTTTGTATTTCGATTAGGTTTCATTTCTAGAAATTTGGACAGCCAAATCAGGTCTTGTTTCTCTAGATTGTGAAAGATATGAGACCATATATGTCCAACAATATGCTTCGCTTCTGCTTTTTCCAGATTACGCCAAATCTACCTTCAACATTGGCATATTTTCCCATAACAAAATCATAGTTTGTTTCTCCAAATTCACTGGTATTGCTTGCTTTTGATAGATGCTTTTGTTAATTATGGAATCTGATTGATTTTGTTAATTTTGATTATGGATTTTAAATTCTCACATATATTGTCCACAAATCAAGTGTATTTTGTTTATTTAGCGGCCTGAGCAAATTCTGTTGATTCTGGAGGAATACGAAGCGGAGGAGTCAGGAGAGAGACTGATTTTAAGGATGACAGTAACAATAACGGCGGGTTAAGAGAGCTTTTGGGGTTAAGTGATGACGTGGAAAAAATAATACATGTGGCAGTATTTTATTGGAGGCATGGACATAATGGACCTAATAAACTGGATGTAAGTTTTGTCCTATTTGTAATCATGGCAAACATGGTTATAAAACAATATGCTTCTGAATGATAAATTATAATAGCAGTTTAGATTTGACTATATTAGTCAATACTAGCAACAACTAAACTTGCAAAAATTGCCATTATCACATCGTGGATCCACAATAATTCAATCACATGCAATCTAAGGGCCTCGAGCCCATTACCAGCACTCTAGTCTGATGTTCAGACAAAATAAACCAAAGATAGAAGGTATAATATGTTCACTAAGTCAAACGACATAAAAATATGAGAAGGTAAAATAAGTCCCAAATGAATGCAGTCCTGATGCATGGCAATATACGAAAAGATTGCATAAAATAAGGTCCGAAAGCTTTACACTGTCAGCTACAACTATTGAGCCTCAGGAGTCTTCCTTGAAGGTCCTGCTAACATATTGTTTCCTAAAAATGGTAAAGCAACGGGAGTGAGACAATGTTTTAGTAACTAAATCCCTACCTATCACACACCCTAGCATGGGCTAGCGAGGTGTCAGGTGGGATGCACAGAGTTAATAATAGTTTATAGACATCTATTTAACATTTAAACTCACAATAATCATATAAGACATATTTCCACTAATTTCATGCAGTTGATACATTTCAAAAGAAATAACATACTGTTTATTTATTTAAAAGACATAAATATCAATGAACATCCCATGTCATACACAATTCTTGAACCCAAATCCATCCTTATATCCTCCTTATTTCTGCTGACTAGACCCATGGGCTAAGTTCTTTCCATTTGACTGGCAACTCTGACAAGCTCACCACACGAATAATGTGGACCGGCCAAAGACCATAGAGCAGTTGGTGGACCATGGGTCCCCCCTTGAAGAACTAGTGGGGTGTCGCAGTCCCTCGAAGAACTAGTGGGACAATAATAGCGGCCAACCATAGAGCTCCATATGGAGGCCAATACCACGTGGCAAGTCTATGAATCTCAATAACTCTAATTATCTCCTTTCCCCACCCAAAATAGATACACAAGGTTCAAAATGACACATTTATATGTATAATCAACAGAATTTCATAATAACACATCATAATCATGATTACCAATTTCTTGCAATACAAACTATGTCAATCTTTTTTTTAAAATAGCATCCCACAAGACAATTCATACAAAACATAATATACTTTTATAGAATTACTTATAAAGCCGCTCACCAACTTCATACTAGAGCATGAAACAGATAGAAATTTAGTTACCTAGTCTCCTAGCTAACAGTCAACTAAAACCAGAGTCCAATCTTGAAAATGCCACAATAGAGTTTATATCTATAAAAAAAATTAAAATATTATCTCTATAGTATTAGAGTAGGCTACTCACAAAATTCTAGCCTCTAACTCCTCCTCTAAAAGCTTTAATTTTTACTTAGAATTCTAGCCTAAAAGACATTTCTCTAAGGTTTGGAATGAGAACATATTTATATATGATTTAGATTCAATTCCTAAATTTTCCTTACTTAAATATCCTTTAATTATTAGATTATATTATTAGAATCATCAAATTCATAATGTAAATAGACAAACTGTAAATTTATAACTTATATTCCATCTTCAAAGGACTTAGACAAATAGACTTAGTATGAACCAGGTTATTCTCACTACAAAAGTTAAACCCTAAATCTAACCGTTGAATTTAATTTCCTATCTATTATGATACTATCCTCCAACTTATAGCTCAATCTAACGGTGAATGAACTTTAAAATGCTAATTTACTATTCAGGACTCTATCTGCTAAATCTAAAAGATATAAGTTAAAAATGTACCTAATAACTTGTAACTCGAAGATCAAAATGATGATCCAACCATTGAAATTAATTATTTGAATGTCCCAAATGGGCTGACCAAATTTTAGTCCGATCCAACGGTTAATAAACTCAAAACTAGTACTTTTCTAAGACTACCTCATATATGTGCGAAAATTATTTACTCACTTCAAGCACTACTCACTATCTCCTATATATAAGCTCCTTAAACTCCTTCACTCTAAAGATTAGTTGATGTGAGACTTCTATACCATGGTATAATTTTCTAGAATATCATCCATACACACACACTCTCCCCTTTATGGCTGCTATTCCCCTTTAGTTTGGATGCAGAATGACCTATTCCAAAATGCATAGTTTCATTAAAAAGGCATTCAAGTCATAACCTGGGATACTCTATGCCGTGACTTGGAGGCACAGAGGCACTGCAGAATGACCTAGCTCCAAAACACGCAGCTTCATTGGAAAAGCATCAAGTCACAATCTGAGAAGTCCATGTCGCAACCTGGGGACATAGAAACACTTCTGGTCTTGCATTTTGGCTGCTTTGAAGTTGTGGCTCCTTAAATGCTGCATCTCAAGTCTTTAAACCTCCTCTAAATGCCTGAAAAAATAAAACCAAAGAGCTTTGTAAAGATTAAACAAATTAAAGATCAAGGCATTTACAGTTTGAATGAGATAATTGACCCCTTTTTACCCTTAAATTAGCAAAATACAATGCATAAATCGACATAATAAAAAAGATATAAATGCATGCAAAATGAGGGTAAAAGTGTTGCAAAATACCATAAAACACTTTAAAAAAAAACATGTAAAGAATGGATTCCATCAAATGGGTAGGAGTGGATCAATATATTCCACAAGTTGTCATTTTTAGGGAAGCTGTGTACAAGTTTAGTATTGCATAGAAGTTTGCAAAAATCCTAACCCAAGCTGAAGTCAAGTTACAAATGAGACAACTAATTTTTTTGGTGTATATAGGCTCTACATTTCTTAATTTTTTTGGGAGAAGGGTGTTGATAAATGTGCACATATATTTTTGTAAGTACTATGTTTTGTGACAATAGAACATTAAGTGGACAAACCATGTTAATGTGCACTTGTCACTGAATCTTGTAAAAAATTGGTTGATGTCAAAGCATATCTGATTTTTGGTTATTTGGCTTACCATTGTTGTAATTTTGTTTGCTAGTGTTGTTAACATAGACTTTTAACTAGTATGACAGCAACATGACATGACAATCTGATAATAATGGTCTTTTGATATTGTGCCAAGGAATGTTAACACTTTATGTTAATCAGTTCTATATTGCAATAATGTAAAGCTATTTAATGTTGTCTAGTTAATCAGAAATGTAGTGACATAAACATTATTTTACATGAGTTACTTCTCAAGTTAGTCATTTGAATATAGAAAATTAACTTCTAATGAATTGTTTATCAGAACTTGCAATTTGCCTTACTAAACTTGTCATTTGTTAAAGAAATCTGAAAATTCTGTCATTTGAACATACAAAATTAACTTCCTATGAATTGCATACCAAAGCTTGTTATTTGCCTTACTAAACGTGTCATTCGCTAAAGAAATCTGGAAATTCTGTCATTTGAGTATAGAAAATTAAATTTCTATGAATTGCTTATTAGAACTTGTCATTTCCTTACTAAACTTCTCATTCACTAAATAATTGTGAAAATTCTGTCATTTGAATAGAGAAAATTAACTTCTGATGAATTGCTTGTTATCATAATTTGTTATTTGCTTTATTAAACTTGTCATTCTCTAAAGAATTGTAGAAATTCTGTCATTTGAACGCAGAAAATAAATTCCTATAAATTACTTATCAGAACTTGCATATCAGGGGTATTTTGGATATTTCACTATCATTTTATATTTGTAATATAGAATTGGGTCTGCCGAGGCAATTGTTGTTATCACGAAATCTATTTCACAATTTCACACATACGGGAGTCTTTTTTTGCGATATCGCTAAATAATTAAGGTCTAATTTTCTCTTTTTCCTTCCTGAGTCTGAGTTGGGCCTTTCAGAGTTTAGGAGGCAGATGCTGGTAGATAACCAATACGGCCGTACTCTTCCGCTTGATGTTGCACTCTCCGGGGGGAAGAGCAGAGAAAGTAGTGGAAATGGGAACTTGCCGATGGCCTTCGTCTCCTCCTTCAGGGCTGATATACCCTTTGTCGTCTCCGCCTCAGCCATCGTTTAGCCGTGCTCAAGTTTCATGCTCAGCTCGTCGGCCACAGTTTTCTCTATCCTTAGTTGATAAAACCCTTTGCAAGATTTGGGATACTGGTGCCATATCTTGCTTTTGGACCAACCGGTATCTCTCTGTCGTACTCCTGTCCTCATTTTCTATGCTTTTATTGCGACTTTGTTTTCGTTCTTGTTTTTGTCCTGTTTTTCGTAATTAATTTTAGTGTGATGAGTTTAACTTGTACGATAATCGTTTTATCTTTTTCGGTTACCAAGAAACACTTGCATGAGAATTGATTGCTTTATTTGTATTCTTCATCTTCGCCTTCCTTGTAGTTTGGTCTGACACTTTGGGATGTTGCACTTCTTGGCATCCACTTTTGGATTCTAATGTAAAGAGGCATACCTCTACTCAGTTGTATATTCTTGGGGTTTTGTTTTCTTTCATGCTTGTTATTTTGGCTGGGAATTCTTAATTCCCTTCTTATATTGATTCAATTTGGCGGTTTGAATCATGCTTGGCTATACCTACCTAACTGGTTTTTCTCCAATTATGATTGCGGTGCCTCATCAATGCACTACCATACTTCTTCCATTGGAACAGATCGAGCATTGCGAGAAATAGTCTAAGATTTTAATTCTTCGACCATTTTTATGGATGGCATATGTGCGTGTATAACATACATCAGTTTTGAAAGTGGTAATTTTAATTTAAGACTTGGATTCCACATGAGTCAAGGATAGCCTAGTTGCTATACAAAGGTTGAATCAAAAAGAGCACAGATTGTCATGGTCTTGGCTTATTAGCTAAGGCAAAGGTCAAAGGGTTTCCTCGCATTGTAGAATCATGATTTTGTGAAGGAGATAAAAAGCAATTTTACTATAGTCTCATACTCTCATCCAGAAATGGAGTTTATTGGCCCATGCTTCTAATTTGTTTTTGGTAGAGTTTGGACCAAAACATTAGATCAGAAAGAGGAGTAGAAATTAATTGATTACGGAGACAATCAACCTGCGTAATTTTTCTTGAGAATGAACAAAATGAGTGCTTTGCTTACCTGAGGACAAGGGTTGATAAACATCTGATTGCCACAAGTTATTCTGTGTTGTGTAATTGTGTAGTTAATTTATCTGCTGAGTGTTTTTTTTTTTTTTTTTGGGGTCTGGTGACAATATTTATTTGTAGAATTTTACTTTTATTAGAGTGCCAATATAAAGTTAAAATTCAAAACTATTGTTAATGCAGGCACATTTTATATTTTTCACTGGCATATAGTGTAGAAGTGGCCTCGGAAGTTCCACGCGCTACAAAAGCAGGTGGCGTTTAGTTGTGAGTTTTCTTCTTATTTCCTCTTCTCTAGTAAGTTTTAGCAGAAAAAATGGGCATTCTTCATTTGATAAAATATTTTAAGTTTGTTTCAAGTCAATCGTAATGGTTATATTGTAATGAATGCTTTTGGGCCATGTAGTAAGAAGTTTCCTTACCTTGTGCTATTTCCCTTGGTCTTTGGAGCCTTGGGCTAGAATTTTAAATCTAAACGGACAAAAAATCAAATGAAAATTTGGGTTGGATGAGAAGCTCTTTAATTAGGGAGAAAACGGTTCTTCTTGATTTACTTTTTTGTGGAACAATGATGATAACTATGTTTTTAGTAGGGATGAAATGGCTCTTCTTGGTTTTATTTTTGTGGAACAACTTGCTAGGATAATAACTATTTTGGAATCAAATATATAATTTGTTCCACCCTTTCTAAGGACAAGCTTTTCATCATCTCTGACCACTTGCATATGTAGTTGGAGATTGTGATGTCCACCATAGGTGTCTTCTAGGATGCTTGTTGAAGCTTTTTTGCTTACTTTCTGCAGTTCTACTGAGACTGAGTTAATGTTCTCTGTTTGTGGTCTGTGACTATATGTTCTTCAGTAGCTGATAAAGAAGCATCTTGCAATGACTCTAAGGGTATGTTTTTATCCTTTAAAGCTTCTTGTTTCTTACATGTCATCAATGTTTTTTAGTTGTATGTCAGTAGAACCTGCCCAAAATCCAAAAATTTGGAGAGGCTGTGCTTGTTTCCTCTTGTTAGTTCTTTGAAAGATGTTTCTCCGTATAGGGAATCACCTTATAAATAATCACAGTAAATAGTCACTTTTAATTGTTTTGTATTTGACTTTCCATCTCTCTTGTGTTGCAGATTGGAAATTACTTTCTAACTCCAGCCATTCAATCCTAGGCATTAATCAAGCTGACATTGGTTTCACATTTGAAACTCATGAACGGTCATCACTTGTTGATCTTTTGAAAGTTTGTCAAGAATGGGGTTTACTCCAAGAGGCAAAGTCTATTCATGGGTATGTCTTAAAATCAAACTTTACAGACCAGGATTGCTTAGTGTTGTTGAATCATGTGATGCATGTGTACTCAAATTGCATGGATTATGATGCTGCTCGTAAGGTGTTTGATGGCATGTCTCAGAGAAATGTGTTCTCTTGGACAGTCATGATGGTTGCATCAAATGAACATGGTTATTATTTTGATGGAATAGTGCTCTTTTGTATGATGCTGGAACAACAAATCTCGCCAGATGGCTTTGCTTTTTCCGCTGTTTTGCAATCATGTGTTGGCTTGGGTTTCATTGAGTTTGTTGAGGTGGTGCATGCCCAAGTTGTTATAAGAGGTTTTCTGACTCATACAGTTGTTAGTACATCGCTTCTCAACTCATATGCAAAGTTGGGCAAGATTGAGAGTTCGTCTAAGGTGTTCAACACCATGGCAGAACTTAATATTGTCTCTTGGAATGCAATGATTTCAGGGTATACTTCAAATGGTCTGCATGCAAAAGCCTTTGATTGTTTTATCAACATGGTTGAATCAAGGATCACACCTAATAACTTCACCTTTATTAGTGTTTCGAAGGCTGTTGGGCAGTTGGGCGATGTGAACAAGTGTCATGAAATCTACAAATTTGCATCCAAATGGGGATTGGATTCCAATACTGTAGTTGGAACTGCTCTGATTGATATGTACGCTAAGTGTGGTTCTCTAACTGATGCACGGTTTCTTTTTGACTCAAAGTTCACATTTTGTCAAGTTAGTACACCTTGGAATGCATTGTTAGCAGGTTATTCACAATCTGGTTCTCACCATGAAGCTCTGAAGGTGTTCACAAGAATGTGTCAAAATGATGTGAAATCAGATATTTACACTTTCTGTAGCGTGTTCAACTCCATTGCTTCTTTGAAGCATCTGAAATTCTTAAGGGAGACTCATGCTGTGGCTTGGAAACAGGGACATGATGTGATGAAAATTAGTACATTGAATGCACTCATTGATGCATATGCCAAATGTGGGTCACTGGAAGTTGTAGAGACGCTATTTGATAGAATGGAAGAGAAAGATATAGTGTCTTGGACGACTTTGGTGACTGCATGTTGTCAATTTTCTGAGTGGGAGAAAGCCTTGATCATCTTCTACCAGATGCGCAGAGAAGGATATGTCCCCAATGATTTCACTTTTTCTATTGTGATCACTGCATGTGCTAGTCTTGGTTTGTTAGAATTTAGTCAACAACTTCATGGATTGATATGCAAAGCCAGCCTGGTCACCGAAGCATGCATTGAAAGTGCTCTAATTGACATGTATGCTAAATGTGGCAACCTAGTTGATGCAAAGAAGGTATTTGAAAGGATATCCAACCCTGACACAGTTACATGGACTGCCATAATATCAGCTTACGCTCAACATGGTCTTGTTGAAGGTGCCCTGCAGTTCTTTAGGAAGATGGTGCAATGGGGTGCCAAGCCGAATGCTGTTACATTATTATGTGTTCTTTTTGCTTGTAGCCACGGAGGAATGGTCAAGGAAGGTCTGGACATTTTCCATCTAATGGAGGAAACATATGGCGTGTCACCAGAAATGGAACACTTTGCATGTGTTGTTGATCTCTTAGGTCGTGTTGGCCACTTAAATGAGGCAATGGAGTTCATAAGAAAGATGCCAATTGAGCCCAATGAAATGATTTGGCAGACTTTGTTAGGGGCATGTAGGATCCACGGAAATACGGAGCTAGGGGAAATTGCTGCTCAAAACATTCTATCCACTATGCCAGATTATCCTGCTACTTACGTTCTTCTCTCCAATGCATACATAGAATCAGGTCTATATGAAGATGGGGTTAGTTTGAGAAATATAATGAAAGAACGAGGTGTGAAAAAGGATCCAGGTTATAGTTCAATATCTTTGAGAGGCGTGGTCCACAAGTTTTTAGCTGGGGATAAACAACATCCTCAAAAAGATGAAATTTACACTATGTTAGACAAGTTGATGACAAATATTGCGTCCATTCATGATATGGATTTTAATGGGTAAACAAGAAGTGAAGGGTGATGGAGAACGACTTGATGCTTGGATGAAATTTAGCCAGAAGCAGTCAATTGATTATGAAGAATTGTTACCTGATTCAACTATTCAACCAACTTGCAAGCCAATTATCATTCTCAAAGCTACAGGACCAAATTTTGCTCATTGAAATGTAGCTTTACCTATCCTTAAAATATGTATATAATCTACAAGGGTTTCAGTATTATAAAATAGTGCATCGATTATTATTGGTCCCATTTTATGTTCATTTGCCTTTATGGCCTTCAATAGACTCTGGTAAATGTTATATTCTATTATATAATTCGGTGTATTTAAATTTGAAAAGATAGCCTGTGCCAAGTGAGGTTGTGTGGAATTACTTTCTATTGCCTTATTTGCTGAAGCAGCTCATCTTCTCAAAGTTTTTTGTCGTTTCCATGTTGCCAATTGCATTATGGATTTCTAGCTTTTCTGATCGAGTTTGTTTGGCTGTTTGTGATAATAAATGTTTAGGCTGTGTCTCAGATCAAATTAAGTCCTGATTGCTTTTTTTTTTTTTGGTTTTTGGGCCATCTTTCTGATTTTGCATGTTTTGATGGTCAAGTAAACCAATAGTTGATGTATAAAAACGTTCTAGTTTCTTTTTTATGTAAATATAAACGTAGGGCCGAAACAATGCCTACTGCGGGTGCAATTAATTCTAATAAAGTAGAAGGAAATACCAAGGTCAAAAGCTTATTACTTTGTTTCGAATTTTTTTTTTTTTTCCTTTTCATTTTCTTGTTTTTCAAGTAAAGCAGAAGCCCCCAAACCACCCCAAGCCAAAAATAATAACAACAATAATAATTATAATTGTAAAAAAATAAAATAAAAATCAAGAAGATTATGTTTGCTAATCTAGGTTTCTCGTTCAGTCTTCGATTGGCAATTGCTAAAGGAGAAAAGTCAAAATGATTGAAGGAAGCTTAAAATATCTAAAGCTTCTATTGTGTTCTAAGGATAATCAATCAATATATCTAAAAGACTAAAATTAGCCTTTTCGCGTTGCTGGAGCTCGAGCGTTGAAAAAATTATGAGCTTTTTCCTTTAAAAAAAATTCATATTTTAAAAAAAGATTAAAGTTCAGGGCCGAAATTAGTTTTGAAGGTGCATTCGATATTTTAAGGCATTTAGTAGTTGACCTAATGTATTAAAAATGGAACAATTCCCACCCCAAACTTGCATAACTTTATCATCTTATCATCCGTTATGCTCATTATTCATCATCTTCATTAAATTAGAGGTGTCATTGACTTGAGTCATTGTTGTTCTCCTCTTTAACTAAGATAGGAGGGCTACAAGTTTCATGAGGAGAGAGGAACGATAGTAGCAATGGCATCGTTTTCCTTCAACTGCTCCTACTGGGGTCTTCTTCGTCCAGCTTCAGTGATAGTGCTATTCTGTCCTCTCCTCCATGGTGATAATTAATTTGACGAAAACGCCATTGGGAGTAGCTGGAGGAAGACAAAAGGGCGCCATCGTTGTTGCTGCTGGTTCTTTCTTTCCGTACAGCTCATAGCCCTTCTGTTTTAGTGAAAGGAGAAGAAGAATGGCTCAAGTCAATGATGTCTTTAGTTTGATGAAGATGATGAAAAATGAATGTAACAAGTTAAAAGCTCTATAGTTTGGGGCGATTATTGGTACATTTTTAATGCATTAGGGACAAAATTACATCACTGAAATATTTTAGGATGCTCAAAATATAATTCAAAATGTTTGATGTATCCCAGCTTAAAAAACTCACTTTTATAAATAATAAAAAAATCTTAAAAAAAAAGATTACTCATTATTTTGAGAATGTTATAAAGAGATGTACTACCTCTTGTTTTTAATATAAAAACTAATTTGATTTTTAATTTGGTCCCAAATATAAGACCCCAATTCACTTTATCTCTTATATTTATTTTTTCAAAGTAGTCCTTGTAGTAGTTGCATATATTAAATGTTTCATTAAATAGTAATTCTACCTAATACACATTATTAGTAAAGATAATTTAGTGAAAACAACACCTATTTATTACAAATAACTAATTTAACAAACTTTCTTAATTTATTCAAATTAATCAACTAGCTCTTATATTAAGAACTAGAAGTAGACATAAAATTTGAATATAATTAAATAATAAATAGTTTTTTTTATAAACAAATGTCAAAGGTATTATAATATCAAAAAGTTTTTAAATACTAATCACTTTTTCTATAATTTTAATAAAATACAAAATAATGTGTTTTTGACAAAATCTCTATAAAATTAATCATTTTTCATAAAATCTCTAAATCATATAGAAAGAACTTATTTTTTAAGCCTAAACAAATGGCCCCTAAATTGTCCATCAAAAATCAAGATATTACATGTGATTTTATCAAAACTTTACTTGACCACAAAGCCATGAATATTAATATTTATTTTCTATATGATAATTCAATATATATACAATTAAAATCAAATTAAAGATGTAATAACGTAAATTCAACTATTTCAATCATAGAATAACCCTAATATGCCCAATGAATCAAGAGCTAATGTCTAAGAGAGTTTAATCACTGTTTCGATTTGGATGATAGACTACTCCACAATAGATTAAACCTTAAAGGGTCTTTTGATTCTTCTCTTCTTCCCTGGACTCAATAATGATTGTAAACTCTTAATTTTTCTCTTCTCAACTGCACCTAGGCAGTTGTCACAAGTCTGCCAGCCAAAAAACATAAGAGTCAGAGGTTTAGTAACAGCAACATAACATTTCCGCTTAGAATTGATAAGTACAGATAAATTGATTCCTATACTTTTATAAGTAGTTTCGTTCCAAGAGAGGGAGGAAAAACCAAAAATGCATTTCACGGTAGAGACCATTTGACTATAATTTCAATACACTCATGATCAAGCCCTTAAGAAAGAAGAACCAAACGAGGAGTTAGCAATGCGCTCTTTTCTTGCATAATCCTTCGTATCGAATAAGAAAAGAATTAAAATAAAAAAGGGATAATTAATCTCCTAGTCATTGTAGTTTTAAACAATTTGGAATCAAGTTCTTAGTTTTTTTTTTCTTTTTTATCAAGTCCTTATATTTTCCCATGTTTTTAATTAGGTACTTAAAACTATTTTATGTTCTTTACTTTATAAATTCTCATAATATTCTTCTATAAATATAAAATAGTATAATATTATTTAATAGTCTATAAACAAAAATATTGTATAAATAATAATTATAATAATTTTCTTTTAATACTCTGGTAAATTTTTGAATTAAACATTTTTATATAATTTACTTATAATGCTAAATTTTATTTATTTTTATAATTATAAAATTCAAATGATAATAATACAATTTATGAAAACAAAGCATAATTGTAATTAATTTATAATTAATTATCTGAATTATTTAATAATTATTAACTAGTTATATTACTTGTTTTTCAATTATATAATTATTAATGTTTCATATTTCAAAATTATATATTTAATTAATTTTAAATTAAATTAATAAATACAATTAACAAAATACGGGGACTGATTAAAATTAGAAATTAGGTGAAAATATAAGGAATTAATAAAAAGAAAAATAAATAGAAGGACTTAATTAAAAACCTAGGAAAGTACAAAGACTTGGTAAAAAGAAAAAAAAATACTCCTCCGGTCCTTAATATAAGATATATTTAACTAATTTGATTATATTAAGAAAGTTATGTAAGCTAGTTAACTGTAATAAATATGACATTTTTTTCCCTAAAATACCTTAATCATCTTCATTCTATCCTTTCTCCCTCTCATACTTGATTATGGTTGAGGGAGTATTAATAGGGGTGATTTGAGAAAAATTGATAGATATAAGAAATAGGTCTTATATTTAGAACTAAAATCAACTCTATAATTAGATCCTATGTTAAAAACCGGAGGAGTATAAAAAGTTGATACAAAATTGGCTGCAATTATAAGCGCTTGAAGATTAGTTATCCCAATTAAAAAACTTAAATTTATCTACAGTGTTAGCAATCAAAGACCCTGTCACAATCAGACTTTTCCCAAATTACTAACGTCTTAATATAAGACATATCCAATAAGCTGGTGACGTTAGAGTCTGAAGCATGTAGATTTCAAAATGTGGAAGCAATTTAGATTCACTGTCTCCATTGCCACAAGTCAAAGATTAAAAAGATAATTAATATATAAGTTCTTATAGTTTTAATCAGTTTTTAATCAGGTCCCTATAATTTTTCTTTACCAGGTCTTTATAATTTCATATGCATTTAATTAGGTCCTTATAATTTTTTTTCTTTTTATCAGGTCCTTATTGTTTTACTTTATTTTTAATTAGGTCCTATAGTTTTTATTCTTTATTCCATAAATAATAATATTCTATAAATAAAAAATTATTATAATAATCTTATGTTAATATTCTTTTAAATTTTTAGTTAAACATATATATTATTTATTTTTCAATTCTAATTTTTATTATTATAAAATTCAAGTTATAAAAATAAAATTTTCTATATAATTATAAATAATTTATAGTTAAGTATAATTGATTATTCTGATTAATTATTAATTACTTAATCATTATATTAATTATTTTGTCCAATTATATAATTATTAATTTAAAAATGCAATTAATTTTAAAAAATAAAGTTAATAAATAATTTTTTTTCAAACTACAAAGGACCTAATTAAAAAATAGGTGAAACTATAAAAACATGTTAAAAAGGAAAAAAATGGAGGGGCCTAATTAAACACACATGAAAGTAAAAAGATATGATAAAAAAATTTTATAGGGACCTGATTAAAAATCAGATGAAATTATAAGAACCCAGAAATTAATTGTCCCAAGATTAAATTCATAATTCTATTGTCCACATCTCAAACTTATTTTGCATGTCATGCAAAATTGCATGAATATATTTGTATCTCAAACTTATTTATACCCAGGCGTTCAGTGAATGAATATTTTTTTACTCGTAGCATCAATATATTACCTGAAATCAGAGTATCACGATCCCAACTTTCTTGAAGCAAGTTTGTCCCCATAAAGAGTGACTTCTCAGCAATCAACACTAAATACAAATACCGAAATCTTCTTTGGAATAACTGCAAGTTGACAAACAAAAAGAAAGGGAAATGTTAGAATTAAATGTAATTAATAAGATAAATTGTATGTACTTTAGCCCCACAATGCTTGTTTTTTATATTGTAGAGTTTTCACTTGTTACAAAAATACTAAGGGGGTGTTTGGACATCATGAAAAGTGCTTCTCAGAAGCACTTTTTTGCAAATCGAGATAAACTCATCCACATATTTATCTCGTAGATCGTAAAATCACTTCTGAAATTATGATTTGGTTTTCATCC